ACTCCGTGTGATGAGCACGATGCTTTTGTTTACTCTTTCTTTACAGGCACGGTAGGGCTCCGTAGTAGCCCAGAACGTCGGATCCGCTCCTGGCTCGCAGTCAGCAACCAGCACAGGTATTTCTCACCGCGCTCAGGGTGACGGGGAAGTCGTGGCGATTCTTTGTCAATAAACTCCCTGACAAAGCACGTAAGTGTTTGGTTACTCCGTGCATGAACGAGCCAATCTTCTGGTGGAGTGGCATTGTTAGGATTTGTCTGCTCCTTACTCATGCACAGTCTACGTTGTACGCCGTGAATATTCTGGGCAATTTTCGAGGTCTACGAGCAGATTACGAGAGGCAATGATGCTCGTTCAGCAGATACAAAGCACGGAGTAAAGCCTCCATTGTTAGGGTCGACAGATGACGGATGGTGTCCTCTTCTCGCCCTTCGATTCGTTCCTAGATCGCGCGAGAGGAGTCGAAAGATCTCGCTTCCTCTGACAAGGACAAGGGACGGACCGACATCATGAACTTGGGATGCGCTAACAGGGGGGGTTTATACCGCATCGACCTGGCTCTCCGACAGCCTTGCCTTGCAGTTAACGGCGCAGACTGGTGCTCCGTAGCATCGGTCAGATCCCTCAACACTCGGCCAATCTTGGTTTAGGGTGGCCTTTAGCCGCGTCTTCCAGAGAGTTCGCCGAAGGGGTGGGAGAGAGCAGCAAAGTACAACCACGGGGTACGGATTCCTCGTACTTTGTGCATGCGCAGCGATTCAGAATCACGTCAAACGCCGTTCTCTTCAGGTTTGAAGCTCGGCTTTGACGATGAGGAGAGGGAGCGACGTACGAGTATTGTCTCCCTTTCGTACAACTATGCATGTGAGCGCTTGTTCTCCGGACGTCTGTGTGTGCTATATGCACACCCGCATCCTATATGCAAGCCTTCTGGGAGATCACACGGACAAGGACAGCTAATCGCAGAGCTTATTGGAGGTTCGCAATGCAACATGCTTGCCGTGGCTCTCTGTTCTGATTCGGCCATATCTTCTCTCCTATTCGATTGACCCAGCCGCATTTGTCCGCTGGAAAGCGTTGTGTGGTCGTCAGCCCTTACGAGATAGTGTCCAATGGGTGGAATCGCTTCCCGTCTTCGTGCTCACATGTACGAAGACCCAGTCCGGCTTTCTTCAGTGTGGACTGATTGGGTGACAGCTTCATCCGATGCTACTTGACGGAGGAAGGGTGTCAAGCTCTGCTTTGCGCAGATTTCTTAGCCCCCTTCGATCAGACTCTTGTCGAATCTTAGCTCATGCTGCTCGCCTAGTCGACAAGCTGACATGGGCAAGGGGGACTGGCGGGTATCGGCGACAATGGTCTTGTGCGCCGGTGATCGATCCGGGTTCGTCGATTGGCCTTCTCTGCTGCTTCTGGTGCGCCGGGCTGAGCTTCCCATTCTCCTTTTAAGGTACGCGGTGAGAGCTCTCGGCTGCTATTGATGTCGAAACCTGATTTTAGGCTTCTTGCTGTCATTGGAAACACACGAAGTACAGACACCCAGAACATACTGATCGATGAAGGGTCGTCCCGCGCCGAAGGTTGATTCGTGTGTACACCTTCATGGACGGTATCATGATTGATTCCTGATCAAGGCTCTGGTATCCGTGTCATTCAGCATGTCTGCCTGGGCGAGCGGCGGCGATCAGGCAAGCGAATTCCACTTGTGCCTTGAGCCGGCTGGGATGATGAATGATGAACCAATTGCTTGAAGCTTCGTCCACACACATCACCTGCAATGTACAGGAGCAACCGAAGGCAGACGCGTCGATTGGTGTTTTATGGGTTGAGGATTGCACGGAGCACGCAACTTGTTGTGACCCTCTCGGGCGTCGCACTCTGATCGTACTTGCATCCAGGCATTCGCTCTGCGATCAAGGGCTTCCGCCACCCGCAGAACTACGCTCTGAAAGCGCGAATTAGGTGCATCTGTGCAACAGCCTCCACTCGTCAGTGCTATTCTGCCTGTCAACTTTGGTCATCGACGCCCCTTTCCCAGCGAGGCGAGCAGTCCTGGGCCAGAGTAACTGCCGGCCGTCTTACGCGCGCAGCCACATCACATCGGGGCACCGGATTGCTAGTGTCATCTCAACGCATCATATCACATTTTGACAACTTGATGACAGAAATGCTTGAGATATCCTGGCCGAGATTCTTAAGGGCGGTGTCCTGAGCCTGATACAGAGCCACACACCCCCTGGCGGGCCATTTTTTCCCTTTATGTCTTCTTTCTTCCACCAGTGCCGCCGGCTTCTTCCATCTCTCTAGTCACCCACACCCCTGCCATCGCTTCCTTTTTGCTCTCTCAAGCATATGAACAAGACAGGCTTTCGATTTCATCGAGCTACGCACACCAGGGTCCAGAAGAAGCATCTTCAGGTGTGTACGAGTACAACGATACGTACATACGGGTCAACCCATGCTGCCTTCACAAGAGGGCTCAGAACGTGGCGATACTTGTTGCACTCCGCCATTTCGCTCCTCCTTGTAGCCGACGGGCTCTTCCGAGATAGTACTAATCGAACGTCAATTACGGAGCAAGTTTCAGCGCTGGAGCGGGCAGAGAATCGGCGATAATGCGGGTGCGCGAGCATACGATACATCTCGATGGCGATTGATCAGGCATCAGCACCATCATCACCACCACTACGGAGGTGCAAGATGTGAGATCGCCGGAGCGTGATGCACCACTGCAGCGCCGCTCGATGGACGATGGCCAGACGTCACTCGTCCATCCTCCACAATACAGTACGCAGATATTGACGCGCGCACATGCTGCCGTTCCGAGACACGGAATCTAATGGAGCGGCCCAGATGCACTGAGCAAGCCTCCAGCCGTTAGTCTGCGCTGCGAGACTCTAATATTACGAGCTACCAGGAAAATCGTACGATTTTTTAGCTTCTAAAGACGTTGTGGGGGAGGATAGAGACATGTTTGTCCGAGCATGTCTGCGACCCAGGTATCTTTTTCCTTTTTTTTCACCTCTTCTTTTTCCTTCTTTTTTCCCCAGCCCCTCTGGACATGGGGCAAGCATCGCCTTGACCCAAAGAAGCATCGTGTGTCCGCCAGAAGCCGCTCCCTTACGACTAACGGCGATTATGTATGTAGGTATACCAGGGCTCTGGTAAGGGGTGTCATTGATGAAATCGGCTTTGCCGAAAGGGTTTTCTGCTTTGTCAAGCGTCCAGGATGCCCGGTCCTTTGTTGAGATCGAAAAATCATGGTCCTGGGGCCTCCAAACCCCGGCCGGAATCTCTGCCATGGGGGGAATAGAGAGCGCAGGGATAGGCCCTTGCTGGCCCTGCCCGCTGTCAATGATGCCGATCGCTTAAATCGAGCCGCACTGTTCATTGTTGCAAGGAGACCGGACTGGGCAAGACGGCGTCTGGAGCTCCCGGTACGAGATGTGCCTTGCGCTCTCGCCCATCAGGGCCAAGCAATTTGCGACGGAGGCCACTTTTTCTGTTTCGAGCAGTAAACGGTTCATGCGATCGTCGATCGTGTGACTTTCCTGCCCGCGCGGGTGGCCGGGGGTTCCTTTCTATCCTTTCTTGGTCCTGTCTCTGTAACTGTCTCGCCTTGCTGTCCGTCAGCTCGGATGGAGTACTCGGTACTTGGAACAGCACTGCTTGGAGGAGCACCAGGCCGATCTCTATATTCGCAGTTCTTGTGGATTCCACGCCGCTCGCTCCAGATTCAGCCAGCGAACGAAGTTGCTAGTCAAGTTCTAGCGACGCTTGGGTAGCTTCTCCCCGTCATCTATCTAAAGCAGCCGGTCATTTTTTGGTCCTTCGATGTCGGGGCAGAAGCGACGATGTCAATCGCACGGCAGACCGGCGCATTTGCATTGAATCGTAATCTCGCCGGCGCACATTGGCGATGGGTCCCATCGGAGATAGAGAGAAGGCGTGTGGAGAGAGATTTATGGAGAGAAGGAGATGATGATGATGATGATGACTAGAGCTAGTATGTACTACATGCTCGTACATACTACTACTACTACGGTAGTACTAGCAGCATTGCATCTCCATAGTTTCTCAACGTCTTGGCAACAACTTGGTAATTCAGGATGGGGAGAATTTGAGCAGAGGGCGTGTGTCGGAGCATTAAACGCGTCAAAAATGCTACTACGTAGTACTACTACTATACTGCTCCAAAGTAACGCATGAAAAAGACGGCGGCACATGACGATGGTCCATGACATCAAATCCAGCCCTGTCCACACCCTCTCCCCTTGCTTTATGTAGTATTCATCGCTTTTTCTTCTGAAATCTTTTTCATCTGTTCCCTTTGTTTCGACGTTCCATCTGCATCTCGGAAACCTCCCGTATTAAAATTAGTCTTTTGATATTATCAAAGCATTTTGCCAAGATGAGCCGTAACTCGTACGAGTAATGTTTTGCTGTTACTAGAATTAAATAATCCCGACGCTTTACACATCGCGGAGGCCCCGAAACGCTTCGAAGAAACGAAAGCAGCTAATAGCTTGACTAAAGATGCTACGACTAGGTGAAATCTTTCTCCTGTTGATCGTGGGTTACAAGTAAGGGGACTTCTGCATGGTGAAAACGAGGCGGTGAAGATTTGTTATGTGTGTTGGATGGCAGATGCAGGAGAACTGCGAGTGCTTTCGCATTGGAATTTAGGTTAGAGTTCGAGTCAAGTCGTTGGTCAAAGATTTCGAGTCAAACCAACAGTTCGCCTAATGGAGCATAGAGCATGGAAAAGGGGATGCAACTAGACCTCGCAGCACAAGTGAGATACGATTCATCCAAGCAATCAGGCTTTCTCTTGTATAACCATGGTGGCTTCATTGCGAAATCATAGAGCTGCAATATCAAGCGGTTCCCTTACGGAAGTAGGTATCTACTATACACCACCAAGTATGTAGTTTCTACCATGAAAGCACCATCTTCTAGTATCAATAAGACTCCGCATCCCGTAAATCTCCTCAGTACTCTCAGAAATCCAGCGTCCCATTAAGATGCAATAGTCTGCTGCTGCTCCCAACGTAAAAGTTGTACGTGCCTTGCTGCAGCTGCCACTTCTGCCTCTCCACGCTCCAAACGCTCAAATCTCTCCTCGTGAGATGAAACGTCACCGACTGTGACTCGTTGGGGCGCAAGAACGGCTTCTCAAACCCACGGAGTTGCTTCGCTGGAGCTCCTGGAATGCCAATGTAGAGCTGTGCCACTTCGTAGCTTGCCACGCTGCCCGTATTCCGGATATCAACGCTGACGGTGGCAATGGCATCCCAGAGGTCGGTTTGTCCACCGCTGACAATGGGGCCTCCAGGCCATGGATACGTGTTTGCCCCCGGAACATGGTTGATGGACAAGTTGGAGTACGCAAAGGTTGTGTAGCTCAGCCCAAAGCCAAACTCATAGCGAGGTTCAATGCCCTCCTTGTCAAAGTGGCGATAGTCGAGGTAGATGCCCTCCTTGAAGTCGGCCTGGGGGAAGTTGACAAACTCGCCCGTCGCCTGTGCCGGATCAAGGACGTTGCCGTAATCGGTATCATTCTTCGCAACAGTGTACGGCAGCCTACCGGAAGGACTGGTTTCGCCATAGAGAAGCGAGGTGAGCGCTGGCCCGCTCTCCTGACCTGGTAGATGCGCAAAGATGACTGCTGTGACGTTTGGATGGTCAACAAAACCGTCGACCAACCGAATGCCTGCATTGTGGAGGACAACAATGGTCTTGTTGCACTGGTCGGCCACCGCCTTGATCAGATCGTCTGTGTAGTCATCCCGAATCGCCGGCCGGTCGTTTCCTTCAGAGGCATATGCGTTACCAAAGACGATGCACGCGTCAGAGGTTGGGTCAGCATCCGGCCTGTCTGATAGGAAGTTGTTGAATATCGCCGTTCCATCTTGAGCAGCCTTCCACTTCAGAGCCTCGAAGGGGGCGAGTGCGAGTGCGGGCGTGATGGCGCCAGAGCCACCGCCGCCGAACATGGTGCCGTTTCTGCCAAATGTAGCGAACCCATCCGGCGAGAGATAGTTGGAGTTGACCGCCTCCGTACCTGTGATCCAGCTGTTGCTGAGCTGCGCATCCCTGGACGGACTGAAAAAGTCGGGAGTCGTGGCTGAATAACCAAAGAAGGAGAGCTTTCTCGGCTTCTTCAGGGGCAGCGTATTCTTGGTGTTCTTGACGAGGACGTGACCTTCAATGGCGCCATTGAGAAGAACCGGTGCAGCGGCAGGATCTCGCCCATCAACAATCTCGTGAGGATCCAGGACATTGGACGGCATACCGATTCCCGGCTTTGGGATGCCGCTGCCCTGATCGAGCCGATACCAGGCGGCGATGATTCTGCAGGCGCGTCAGTACATGTGGTCCCCTTGACAATCATCATCGTCTTTACCTCGTTACCATATCCGTTATCCGTGACTCAGGCAATGAACCATTCTTCACGGCCTCAACCAGATGCTCGCCCCAGAATTCGGCCGGTCCGGGCATGGCCATATCCAGACCAGCTTCTGCAGAAGCCACTCCGGCATGCTGAGCGCCCCAGTCGGAAACAACAAACCCCTTTTCTCAGACCTTTGGTCAGTGCCACTGACAGGGAAGATATATGGACAGGACGCTCACCTGAAAGCCAAGCTCAGTCTTCAGGAGGCCATTCAAAGTCTTGCTGTTGGAACAACCGTACGAGTTATTGATACGCTGGTAAGAGCACATGATGTTTCCACTGCCTGCTCTCACTGCATCTTGAAAGGGCCTGGAGGCAATATCAGAACGCCATTGCATGGACTGACGGGGCGCGGCGTTTACTAACCACAAATAATACTCATGCAGCGTCTTGTCGTCAATGTTGGAAGACACAGCAGAGACGTTCGCATCCGGCGTCCGGTGAGTTTCCTGCTCGTTGAGAATGTAATGCTACAAGCATAATTATCAGTATCCAAGTTTCGGGAACAGTTGGATGTCGCCATTGGAGGACAACCTACTTTGGTACTCGTAATGACGCCCTGCCCTTGGATGCCAGAAACGGTCTCAGAAACCAAGACTCCCGCCAGCCAGGGGTCGACGGAGAAGCCTTCCCAGTTTCTCCCTCCTCGTACGATACGTCCAGCAGGGCCAACAACAGGACCAAGCAGGACATTGACACCTTTCTTCTTGAACTCGGCACCCATGGCAGCGGCACGCCGGAAAGCCAAGTCCTTGCTCCAGCTGGGCGCAGTCAGCTCGATACTGTTGCTCAAGGGGCGACTTGGAGAATCGAAGTCGGAATTACACCAACCGACTGGATCACTCACCTGGCACCAACGCTGATTCCGCTGGGGAATCCGCTGACAAAGTCCGTGTTGCGAAGACCATTGCCAGCATCGCTCAGGCACATGCCGGGGAACTTGAGACGCTCAATGGCAGGAATAACACCACTGCAGGTAGTGTTGGGGGGGACACCGGCTGTGAGATTGACCTGATGAACTTAGAAGATCCAGTCCTGATTTGTAAAAGGCAAGTATCTTTGTGCGGCCATCTTTGCTCACCTTTTCCTCCAGACTCAACTTGCCAACAAAGGATTTGGCCTTTTGATACGCCGCCTCCCACTCATTTCCACCAGTCATTTCGGCTATTCATTAACGCCGTCAGTGTCATGTCTTCTGATCTCCTCAAAACAGAGCCGGTAGAGCATACGTGACGGATAAACAGGGGGCGATTGGCCATAGAAGTAAGTGTCATCGGTGATGGCCTTTGTCGCAGCGTCCGCCACGTGGGCAAGGCCCGCAAGCAGGGCAATCTGCTTCACCGCGACCATGGTACCGATCCGTCGGTTGCAAACAAACTATTGGTGTAAGAGTCGCGTTTCCACTGCCGCTGTCGAATGGAGTCTGTCGCCTAGGTTCGAAGAGGGCCGGTTCGCTCTAAGAGAAAAGCATTCGCACGCTCGCAGGCTCAAACGATGGGATTCCGGAGAAAGATGCAGCAATATAGCTTGCTTATAGTGAAGCGTATCCACGTATCCAGAGAGGCAATATGATATTCCTGGTGGAGATGTAGATAGAGTAAGGCAAGAAGATCAAAGGAGACGCAAAGACAGAGATGATTGCAGGAGTCAAAGAAGGATGATATTCTTGTTATGCTCGCCCTAAAAGCCGTGAGCCGAGACATGCATCACCACCAAGAAAACAAAGAAAGGCATCCAAACGCTGCCTCTTTTCTCCGCATCTTCCCAAAGCGGCCGCCTTGCTCTCCGCTATCCGTGTAACTCTGGCCTCGGCTTGTTGGGGTCCTTGTTCTCGCCGCGGATCTCGAGTTTTCCCATTAATGCCTAAATTCACCATTGGTGAACTCGTCGGCGAATGGCTCAGGTGGTAACGGCACGTCATATCCCACACCGCGTTATGTCCGTCTGCTGTGACGCGTGACACAAGAAACTTGTAAGTTGCAAGTGCCGCCCGCACCCGGGCTGTGTTGTTCATCTGTCAGTTGTACTTGCTCACCAGGATTGACTGCTGCTTTTAGCCAGGTGGGTTCCTTCCCCGCGAAACGGAAAGCTGTAAACGGGGAAAGAAGGGGAAGGGAGACAGGGGAGGTGCGGGAGGTACGGGAGGGTAATTGTAGCATCCGATTGGCGGATTGGCGAGGCTTGGAAGGTTGAAAGGCTGCTTCCTCTTCACTTTCCTCCTTGTTGCTTGTTGCGAATTTCCCTACGGGATTTATCGTGCGGGGTTGGGGTGGTGACGAGATGACGGCCTTGGTATGCAATGACGTTGGCGTCTCTCAGCATGCAAGAGCCGAGGCTCTCTTTCGGGGCGTTTGTGGTTGAAGCCGTGAATAAATGCGTTGTTGGGCCGGGGAGTTGATGACGGTTCGACAGAGAAAGGGGAGTGAAGAGGGGACCAATCAGGAAGGACAAGGCGAGAAAGGAAATATCAATAGAGCACCAGTTGTAGATCAGCGACATTGCTTTTGCCATCCTCTCTCTCTTCCTGAAAGCCACTGTGAAGCAATAGGCCCGATCGAAGAAGCATACCTATTAAAATTAAGGACTCTAGTAGTTATAACTGGATTAAGCTATGATAACTACATCCTACTCGAAACTATTTAGTCAGGGGACTATTGCAGCCCTCTCGTGCTACCTAGGTACATTTTGATAGAAGAGGAGAAGCTTCGTATTTTGTTATATGACATTGGATAATTAGAAGCACCTCGTATAGGCAGATGTCTAACAAAGGCATGCCATCTCTAGCCTCTCTTCACTTTCTAGGTCAAAACATAGAAAAGTGGCCATCTCTTTCACCCAGACAGTTGGTAGGTAACCTAGCTTACCAAGTTTACTTCGGTATGTATGAAATAGGCATTAGTTGTGCAGAGTACCATCAATCTCACACTCCGTAAGGATATTCGGCCTTTAACGAATAATGACCAGGTTGCCGACTGGCTAATCAAGCTAATGTAGGGAAAGAAATCAGAACTCTTTCCTCCTCGCATATGCAACACTGCGTTTCAAGTCGTACAATATGTACGTTCCCTTTCCTTTCCTTCCGTCTTAAGAGAACAAGAAACAATAATGACAAGAACAAGTAAGCGATTTCTCCAAGTGCTCCTTTCTAC